AGTATGTAAAGTGTCGAGAGAGCATCTGTTGTATTTACATATTTTCATTCGTCCGTGATTTGACAGGTTTACGTTTTGTTTGTAAAATGATCAACTTTATTTAAAAATAAATAAAGTCGATAATAATTTTGATAGTATAATAATTGGTCAATAAAATATGTTTGATTAGCCATAGTTGACAAAGTGAATCTGTTCGTAATTTGATAAAATTTGTCTGGAAGTCAAAAATAATTAATATTTGTTAGTAAATAATGTTTCCTAATAAAATGTAAAGGTTAATTAAATATATTTTATGATAAAAAAAAAATAAAGCCCTTGGTGAGATTTTAACTCACGACATCTGGTTTACAAGACCAGTGCTCTAACCACTGAGCTATAGAAACAACTTCCAGCAACACAATTTTTATATTCGATTTTGGTAACAACAGAATGTAAAGTGTCGAGAGAGCATCTGTTGTATTTACATATTTTCATACCTCCGTGATTTGACAGGGTTACGTTGTTTGTACATAGATCAACTTTATTTTAAAATAAATAAAGTCGATAATAATTTTGATAGTATAATAATTGGTTAATAAAATATGTTTGATGTTTGATTAGCCATAGTTGACAAGGTGAAAGCTGCTCGTAATTTTATCAACTTTTTCTGGAAGTCAAGAATAATTCATATTTGTTGGTAGTAAAAATGTTTGCTAATAAAATGTACAGGTTAATAAAATATATTTTATGATAAAAAAAATATAAAGCCACTAGTGAGATTTGAACTCACGACCCCTGGTTTACAAGACCAGTGCTCTAACCACTGAGCTATAGAGGCAACGGTTATAGAAGTTAGTTTAAAATTTGGTTTTGATGGCTTTTGATTTAACGTATGAGACGGCATCTGTTGCATTTGCCGTGATGTCATTCTTATTGATTTTCTGCATAATATTATTGACATTAAACTAATTCCTCCTTGCTCAAAGTATCGAAATGCACGCCATCGTGTCGGGATTAAATATTTCGACATTAATTATGTCATCATCAGGAATTTCCTGCACGTCCGTTCACAACTGACGGCGCTGGACGCTTTTAAAGTTTTGGTAACAAGAACAGCAATGATTCTCTGGGGTCAGCGCCTTGTGCGAACCTAATATAATTTGGAACAATCTGTTAATAAAATGATATTACTAAGATTTGATGTTATACCATGTATAGTACGTAGCGCCTTGATCGATACATTACTTTTTTACGTTCGGTACAGCCCCCATGACCAGGGCAGATCCAGAGATGTCTGAAAGGGGGAAAAAAGTTTGGACGATCGAGATCACCACCCAAGGGGTCCGAGGGAATTCTCCTGCGAAATCGTTGTTTTCTAGACGCCCGAAAATAACTTGTGATGCGTTTTGGATGATTTTGTTTTTCTTCTTTTTTTTTACTTTCCAAAAGGAGGGGGAGGGACCGGCCCGCCCCACCCCCTAAATCCGCCCCGATGAGGCTGAAAGTGATATGAAAGGAGATGCTAGGGTTTAATAAAATAACACTTTGTTATTTTATTTTAAAAACTAGCACATCCTTTCATATTAGGGCCTAATTGCAGCATCATGGGGCTGTACCGAACGTGCAAAAGTAATGTAAAATAATATTAGTTAATAAAATAGGATAATAAAATGTGTTTTGGTTTAGTGATATTTGTACTCGCGAGCTCTTGTTTACGGACCAGTGCTCTATACAACTGACTTACAAAAGGCATAGAGGAAATTACTCGGAAAGTTTACGTTGGAAGTTTGTTTCTGTAGTAGACCTATGTTCAGAGGCGGATTTTACTTTTTGAAAGTAAAAAAAAAAAGTGGGGGGGGGGGCGGCGTCTAGAAAACAAAAGGGTAGTAGTATTAGGGTCGAATATGCTTTTTTAAGTCGCCTCCTAATTCTATAATGAACATTTGTTTGTAATTTCTATTGCGACTTCGACTTGAAGATTGATATTTAGTTGATGTTTTACAAAACATGAGTTGTGTTTGTTGGTTCTGATTACTAATACATAATCCGTTATCAGTTGTTGGTATTATTATTATTATTATTATTATTATTATTATTATTATTAT